GAAACAATGACCTCATTTTAAGTCTTAAGCCAAAAATGAGTATTTTCCTGATCAGCTCCCGGAAGCGCGCGGCCGCATTTGCAGCCGTGCGACATCTTATTATCTAGTTCTTACTCTGGAGAACCTGGCAGGCTACCAAAAGTATCCTGCCCACACAGCAGAGTCTGGCAAACTCCCCGTGGCGTATTCAATATGCCAAAAACCAGTAACAACGATAAGTCTCATTCTCCTGACCCTGAAAGGGCCTCGAATGTGGCATTTTCTAATATCTCAGGGCTAGGACAAAGGAGACGTTACTGGTGCCTGTTTGAGGAAGTTGATGAACAATAGGATGACAGAGATACAGTGATTCCTGATCAGTATAAACATATCGAACTCTATGCACAGCATTTACACTTCCCAAATTATTCTCAAGCAAATGCGTCTACATTCTATGTCAACGTAGCATTTTCCCTTGAATTTTCATTTCCTGTGTTTTCACTTTAGCGGCGCTGTTTCGCAGTGTCTAAATCTCAGGTGTGCACCATTAGAAACCAACCTCTGTACATGCTACGTGCAGGTACATTTTTCTTTACAGGTAAATCTTTCTTGGTGTCTTTCAGTGATGTTCTATACATTTTCTGTAAAGGCGTTAAACACGCTTCCTTAAATTCTCATGTGTTTAAAAATTCTCAACTATTCTGCCAACACTGTGTTTTCAGCCCTTTTCTGCAGAAACAATTGCATTCTGTAACTCTTTTGGTGGCAGGGCGTACACCCATTAGTGCGAGGGGTGAGAGGTGGCAGTACTGGGGGACCAACCAGGGACTCCCAAATGCAAGGTAGTTGTTTAACCCTGAGCCGCCGCCCGAGCCTGCTTTGCACGTCTCACAGGAGGTGTGCTTCCCACGTGCCAGCAGCGGGAGATGAGCAGCACAGCGGCCCTCAAGCGGCCCCACGGACCCCCTTCCTCCAATCTCCCTCCTGCGAGTCAGCTCTGGGCCTCTTTGGAGCAGGAGGGAGCAGCCTTAGGAGGACTGGGGGCTTTACTGCACTTCCCCAACACGGCCGCCAGAGGGCACCATTGTGCCAGGTTCATCCAGGAGCCGCACTGGCTTCTCTTGCCACTGGGCTGGTCTCTCCCGCCTCTGCTGGGGGCTGTGGCGACAGTGAGGACATCAAGTCCCTCCCACTGGCACTTGATGAGGTGCCAACCTTCCCATCTTGCCTCTCCTGGAAGGTTCCAGAAGGTACCAGCATGACTGGCTAGCAGCAGGACGCTTTCCCCACTTCCCGAGGAGTGGTGGGTCTTCAGGCAAGGCTGCCCAGGAACCCGTCCTGACCTGCTGGGCTGTGTCCACAGGCGGAAGTGCATGCTTGGACCCCGGTAGAATCCCAGCCAGGAGGGGCCACAGTGGGCTTTGGCGATGGGGATGGTTCTAGGCCCCACAGCTGAGGGACTCTCCCACATGGAGGAGCTGCCTGGGGCACTGAGCAGTCCAGGGCACTGTCCACTGTTCCCGAGGGTAGAGGGAGAGAGCAGGTACACCCATATGCCACCCAGACTCCAGACATGAGCCAGACTCTTCTCACATGGCTCTCAGAAGCTGAGTGACACCCACTGAATGTCCAGTGTTGGCCCGTCCAAGGTCCCTGGGCAGAGTGACCTCATGTCCAGATCTATGGGGCTCATTCTGACTTTTGATTCAATGCTGCTGCCTATCAGCGTCCCCATGGTAGACAGTCACCAGTTTCTGCTCGATTCTCTCATGGGGCCTCAAATGCTTCTCAGGACACCTGGTCCCTCCTGGGTGTTCAATCTGGCTGGGGGGCCCCTGCAGGGCCCTGGACGTGGTGCCAACTGAGCCCGGCAGTGAGGGTAGAGCCAGGGTCAGCTGCATGCAAGGCAGGCACATTACCCCCTGCACTCTCCCCAGTGCCCGCTGTCTGTGGACGTAGCAAAGATTATTGGTTAATGAGAGATTGACCGGTTTTCTTGAATTCCTGAAGGACACAATTGTTGAAGTGGTTGTGACCTGGAGGTGTTGATGAGCCAACTGACAGCAACGTGGTTCTCCACCTGTTTCTTGTGTTCTGACTGACAGCAATGTGGCTGTTTCGGTCCCCACTGTGACAGCACGTAGCCCTCCGCCTATTTCCTGTGTCCTGACTGTGACAGTATGTGGTTTCACAATCAACATGCAATACAATACAAAAGAAATGAGAAATGGTGGGCTGTGGCGAAGGCAGGCTTGCATGCAGGCTAGGAGCAGACAGGATGCAAAGGCAGCATTAGGAGGAGGACCAGGAGTGCTCCCCCTCCCCGACTCTTCTGGATGGCAGGCGAAGGATGGGTGACGGCAGACTCCCTGGTGTCGTATGATCTCTCCCTTTACGGCGCAGTCATAGTCATCATTACAGCCATAATCTCGGTTATCAGAGTTCCATCATCCTAGTCTCCTCGCAGACCTCAAAGTCTCCAAAGTGTGTTTTCCTCCTCTTCTTGTCTTCTCTTCGTTGCTGTGCTCTATCTTCTTCCTTTGTGCTCTGCTTCTATGTGTGCCAAGTGCTCTTAAGTTCTCTGTCTTCTGTCTGTGCCATTGTCTTCTCCTTCAGTCTGTCTCGTGGTCATATCCTTTCTTCTTCTGACCTTCTAACCATCTGACCTGACTTCGGCAACCTATAACCTTGTGACGGTGACCTCCCCAGCCCCTTACAGCATAGTTTTTACAGAAATCATGCAGGGCAGGGATACAAAGGTGGGGTTGAACATTAACAAATCAACAAAGAGAGGTAAGGCCACCCTCCAGGCGATCAACTCAAGGACAAAATCTCATCTAAGGAGATTACTCCAGATTGCTTAAAGGCAGGATTCCATCCAGGGTGTGCTGCTCTTCTTCCCGCAACTAGTAATCCACTTGGTCACAGTCACGGTCTTCCCGTTGTTCATCGATTTGCTCGAGCGGGCCCAGTAACGTCTCCATCGTGAGACTTGTTACTGTGTTTGGCATATTGAATACGTCACGGGTAGCTTGCCAGGCTCTGCTGTGCAGGCGAGATACTCTCGGTAGCTTGCCGGGCTCTCTGAGAGGGGCAGAGGAATTGAACTCGGGTCGGCCATGTTGGCCGCTTGTAAGGCAAACGCCCTACCGCTGTGCTATCACTCCAGCCCAGTAATCCACTTAGTTTTAATAAATTTCTAATATTTCTAGCAATGTCATTTTGAATGAGCACAGTAAGAGAGATAACGAGCTTAAAGTTTGGTTCTTCCTGAGGACATCTCATTATACATTCCAGACCACAGTCCTCAGGCCAGGTTAGTCTTCCTAACCCCAGCAGGATCCTTACTCAGTTACTTCTTTTGGGTCATGACAGCTTGCCCATTACTGTGCTCTTAACCCATAGTTAAGTTTTATGGCGCTTAACCTGGCCCATTTCAATGCCAGGGTAGCTCACAGCTTGCCCTGGATCCATCAGTCCTTCAATGGGACCCTACTCTTGGAGTGCTGGGAACTAAGGGCAACTGAGGCTTAAGTCAAGTAAATACGGATGCCCAGGAGTAAATATTATTTTGGAGTCAATTAACTCCCAAATAGACATAAAGCAAAGACTGCTAAATAAACCATACAAATGACATAAAGAGAAAAGCAATATGATTATTAGTTGTGCCTCAGTTGCTCCGTTGTAGGAGTGGCTCAATAAACCTTAAGCTCCCTGCAGGAGCATCAGTGTTATCCAACACTGACTGTGACCGTTTGTAGCTCTCTACCTGTCTCCTGTGTCCTGATTGTTACAGGAAGTGGCTCTCTGCCTGTTTCCCGTGTTCTGTGACAGTATGTGGCTCTCCACTTGTTTCCTGTGTCCCAACTGTTCCAGCAACATGGTCTCTGCCTGCTTCCTGTGTCCTGACTGACAGTATGCGGCTCTCTGCCTGTTTCTATGTCCCGACTGTGATGCAGTGCAGCTCTCTTTGTCCCGACTGTGACAGTACACGGTCACACTGAGTGATGTTGCCCTGACCCTCCTAAGGTGTCTCTGGCAACCTTTGCTGCTGGCCCATCACTCCCGGTGAGGAGGGAGCCACTGCAGTCCTGGGAGAGGACTCTCGGGCTGTGGCACCTGCTTTGCAGCCAGGCACCCCACAACAGAAGTGCCTGCTATGACATGTCCCAACTTCTTGACGTTATGGTGCGAGGGCAGGCACGCGGATCCAGCAGGTGGGCACAGGGGAGAACACCCACAGTGAGGCGGGGAGAGTCACATCTCCAACCGGAATCCAGCGAGACCAGACTGCCTGTCTCCATCCAGGCCTGGTGCCCGCCTCTGGGCTTCTGAAAGGACCTGGCAGGGCAGTGGACAGAACTTGGTCCCAAGCACCTGGTGTTGAAAGTCTCTGCAGAGCTCAGCACACCAGGAACTGGGATACTGACGTGGGTCTTCATGTTCACAATCTCTCACACATACGCACACACGTGTGCACATGCCAGACATTTTTGTGAGGTGCTTGTGCAGGACACCAGTCATGGCTGTGAGCTTGCATCACTCCCTGGATGACTCACATGCTCCTGTCCTGGCATGAAGCAAGAGCATTTTTAAATACACTGCAACTGAGCCCCGCCACAAGTGTGCCCCCTACATAGCCACATGCGGCACTGCAGCCCCTGGGCTGGGGGGCTCGGGCGTCTCTGGGGAGGGGCTCAGGGACAGAAGGACAGCAGGCCTGCTCGAGCTTTGCCCAGAGAGGCCCTAGTGGTCCTGGGCTCTGCTCGGGAAGAGGAAGTGACACAGCAGCAGGGTGGGCAGTCGAGACCCCATGGGCAGGAGAGCGCAGCCCCACCCGACACATCACCTCCAAGTCAATTCCAGGAGCCACCGGCAGCAGAAGGTGCTGTGGAGTGACTAGAGATCGAGGCCCAGGTTCTAGAATGACGGGCGAGACCAGGGTTCCAGAGCGATGGCCAAAACCCGGGTTCTAGAATGACGGGCAAGGCTGGGACCTACAATGGCAGGCAAGACCCGGGTTCTGAAACAAACACATTTACTCTGGAGGGCACAGGCTGCCCAGGGCCTTCTCAGAAGGCATCTCTGCGGTCCCCACAGACCAAAATCCTCAGGAGCAACAAGGAGCCTCTTCCCTCCCCTCAAGGCAAGAAGGCGGGGGCAGCTCCAAGAGCCTCTGGGGACCTGGGACCCTCTTCCCCGCCTTCCACTGCCCATGTCCCCTGCTAGGCCCTAGCACTGCCGCAGAGTGAGGCCGGGGAAGACTCGCCAGCCAGGGGAGAGGTTCCCTGGGCCTATCCCAGCACACGCCCGACTACAAGGGTCCACTGCAGGCAGAGCCGTGTCCGTCCCTTTCTGCAGCTGGGGCTGGGGTGCGGGTGTGGAGTGTGGGCAGACAGGAATGCCCGTGGGGTGAGCCCCGCTCCTGCCTGTGCTGTGGTGCTGCTGCAGGGGAGAAGGAGCACCCAGAGTGCCCATGTGGCGGCCTCAGGGAGGAAGGAGCACCCAGGCAGTGTCCACGTGGCAGCCTCAGCGTGTGTGCAGCCTGCTCCGAGCATGGTAGTCCTCATAGAAGCTCTGGGATGAGGCGGGCGTGCGGGGCGGCACAGCGTCCAGGGCCTGCATGAAGTGTCTGTGCAGGACACGTGTGGCGCCCATGTCCTCCTCCAGGGCTCGCAGACCGGCCTCCTGGCACACGGCCACAATCTGCACGACGAGATGGCCCAGTCAGGGTGCACAAGGCGGGGCTGGCGAGGTGGGCTGGACAGAGACCCGGGCAGCCCTGAGCCACTCACCTCCGCCCCGGAATACGCCTCCGTCCGCGAGACAAGCTCCTGCAGGTCCACATCCTCAGCCACGGGCATGGCGCGCAGACGCAGGCCCAGGATCTCCTGCCGGGTGGCCGCGTCTGGCAGTGGCACGTAGATGACACTATCGATGCGGCCGGGCCGAAGCAGTGCCTGCGGGAGGGACCCAGGGTGAGCGGACACCACGCCCCAAACACGGACACCGGACACAGAACACCAGACATGGACACGGGCAGACACGATGTACACGAACACAGGCAGACACGGACGGATACGGACACGCCCCCTCGCTCAGACCTGACACCGAATCCTGGACGCGCACCAACAGCGACCCCAGACACACACCGCCTGCATGCAGGCTCCAGGAGGGGCGGCACAGCTGTGGGGGGCCTGGTACGAGCCAGCTGGACATAGAACTTCCTTGCTGGCCTCACTGACCACCACTGGCCGGGTGGTCTAGGAGTCCTCCCAGCAGCTAGAGCCTGGGTGTCAGCTCACAGGGGTCCCCACCATGCCCTTCCACCAGCACTTACCTGGTCTATCTGATCCGGCCTGTTGGTGGCTGCTACGATGGTCACGTCCCTCAGCTGCTCCACGCCGTCCATCTCTGTCAGGAGCTGGGCCAGGACACGGTCTGCCACGTCCCCTGCCCCCGAGGACCTGAGTATGGATAGGCACAGACTAGGCGGCTCCCCACACAAGCCCTGAATCCCAACAGCCCATAAGTCCTCCAATGAGGAAACGCCCATGTCTGGACATTCAGACTGCAGACTCAGACCAAGGTGCTCCTGGCTGGGAAGGCAACCCATCATGGGCCCCAGGAACGGTCTCCACACCCCCCCCCTCACTCACACATACACACTTGCAAACATACACATACACTCACATACACACAACATGTACCCTCAGACTCACACACCTTCACTCATACATACACTCACATACATACACACGTTCACATACGCGTTCACTCTCACACATTTACACACAACTCACATACTCACACATACATGCTATTACAACTCATATATACTCACGATATGCACACATATACTCACAATACACTTTGTCACACCCCCACACTCAGACACATACTCTCACCCAAGCACTCATACACCCTTCACACAAACACTCTCACCTAAACACACAAACGTGTGCACGCACACACATCCCTCCCATGTACACGCACAGATGTGCAGTGCTGCCCCGGGATGCAGCCACCTCCACAGCAGGGCCCGTGCGAATCCTTAGAGGAGCTTGAGAGTGGGGCAGAGAGGGATCGTGTGCCCGTGAAGATTTCCCACAGACTCTGCCCCCCACACACATCCACAGAGACACACACATGAAACCAGCTCACACACGTGCATGTCAGCACACCAGACACACACATGCATGCTCACACATAAACACGCACATTGGAACAGATTATAATTCTCTTTGTTACCTGAGAGGCAGGAATACGCTCTTAATTTCATGCAATTGCAACACTGGAAACATGATTTAGCCCTGCAAAACCGAGCCCTGAGTCGTGTGCCCTCCTGACGGGGCTCTGCTGCACGATAAAACCTGGCTGATCTGTCTCTGAGGGTGCTTGGGCCCCCTAGACCACACCCGAGGGTGTTTGGGGAACCATGCTGTGCCGGGGACTGAAGTGGGTCAACCCTCGGCTCTCTCCCAGTCCAAATTTCAACAGCTTCAGTAGACACTGGATTGCGAAAATGACCCCGGGCAGCCCCAGAGTTTCCCGAAACTGAGGTCCCACATGCAAGCCTCGCCAAGCACACCATGAAGGAAAAGGCCAGAGAGAAAGACGTGAAGAGCAACCATGCTCCCCCAGGGGACATGCGTGAGGCCCGTCACCCCACGGCTCTGACAAGGCTGAGGCAGGAGGGCGCCTGGCCCACCCATGCAGGGCAGCACCCCACGGTCCTGGCAACTGTCTCTTACCTGCCCCTTTCAACAGCCAAGGCGTCGAGCTCGTCAAAGAAGATGATGGAAGGGGCCACCGCGCGAGCTTTCCGGAAGATCTGTGGGACAGATCAGAGCGGGTCAGAAATGATCGACTGTAGTGCTCCTCCCTCCTGAGAAAGGACCCTCACCGCCTCCCTCCTGAGAAAGAACGGTCACCGTCCCCCTCCTGAGAAAGGACCCTCACCGTCCTCCCTCCTGAGAAAGACCGTCACAGTCCTCCAGTAAACTGAGCTGGCAAAGATGTAAGGGAGGCAACATGGTGAATTTAGAAACAAACTGTCTCAGTAATCAGAACTGCACCTGAAACAGGAGGACTCTTGCCTAAAGAAACCACAATCCGCTCTCAGGTGGGCTGTGACGTCCCCGGGTTCGTACCCCGCGTGAGACACACGAGCTTGGCCGTCTTACCTCCCGCACTGCTCGCTCTGACTCGCCAACGTACTTATTCATTAACTCAGGCCCCTGCAGGGAAGCAAGCAGCCTCAGTGTCTCGCTGCACCCTCCTGGCGAGGACGAAAGCACACAAGGAAAACAAGGCAGGCGTGCGGCCAGCCTGGGGTCCGCCCCTGAGCACGCACGCCCGGCCCACACCAGCACCCACACTGCTCACGGCTCCCCTCACGTTCCCTCACATCTCCTCGCACGAGTCTGCTCAGGTCTCCTCGGCCCTGCTGACAGCTCCTCACCCGCCACTCAGACCTCTGCTCACACCTCCCCTCACGAGCACACCTCGCTCACACCTGCTCACAACTTCTCTCCCCTCCCTTCCCCAGAGGCTGCCGCGCAGCAGTGCCAGCCCACGCCAGATCCCTCTGGGCGCTCCTGCTGCCCCGGGGCCCCTCCCACCTTCACAGCGAGGAAGTTGAGCCCACTCTCGTTGGCCAGCGCCTTCGCGATCATGGTCTTCGAGCAGCCGGGGGGCCCGTACAGGAGGACCCCTTTCGGGGGCCGGATGCCCATGCGCAGGAAGGCCTCGGGGTGTTTCTGGGGCCACTCCACAGCCTGTTTGAGCTTCAGCTTGATTTCCTCCAGCCCCCCGATGTCTGACCAGGAGACCTGTGAGACACGAGTGCTGCAAACGCAGGGCAGAAAAGCAGCACCCGGCGGCGCAGAGCAGGAGGGCAGATGATCACAGCGCAGAGGGCACTGGCCTTGCACACCACTAGCCCACGTTCCTTCCCAGCACCCCACAGGGTCCCCGAGCCCACCAGGAGTGATCCCTGGCACAGAGCCAGGAGTAAGCCCTGAGCATCGCGAGACCAAAGACCAAGGGGGAAACAGGTACCACGACGAGAGCCAGGCGTGACGAGGGTCCCGGGACGAGCATCTCTGGGCCAGCAGAGGGCTGCCCGTCCCTCAGCATCTCAGCCCCCAAGGAAACAATCAAGAGGCTGTTAAGTGAACCTCTGCCTGCCCCTCTGCACAGGCACTGCCCAACGGGGCAGTAACTGACATCTCGGGGGGATTAAGAAGCGCTTTAAAGTCGGTGGGAGGAGCACATAGCAGACAGGGTGCAGGAAAAGCAGCGCTCGGGGTAAACAGACAGCGAGTCACACTTGTGAGACCAAGAAAAGGCAAGACCACTAACCACCGCTCCCCACTTCAAAGTGAAGGCAAACAAAGCCTAATGGAAACCAGGATGGAAACAAGACGTGGGCAGGCATCAAAGCAGCAGCCCGTGAAAACAAGGAGCAGGGTGGAGCCGCCAAAGACGAATCCAAAGGACTCACCCAGAGGCCACCTCTCGGGTCCCAGACATGTGCAGCACACCCACACACGTGACTCTGCGTGGGAGCCAGCCCCGAAGCACTGGACGGGGCCTGGAGACCCCCCAGCCCTGGCACCCCACTGGGCAAGACAAGGAGCTGCTGACAGCAACAAGGCACGCCGGGCCCCCAGGAGTGAGCTCCATGTCCCCCAGGGGCACGCCGTGTGTGGGCTTGTGGCCTGACAGGGACGTGCGCATGGGGAGCCTGAGGGAGGTGGCCGACTTCAGAGGCAGAGAGGCAAGCAGACAGGCAGGCAGCCAAACAGGAAGTCAGCGAGCTCCATGGCACCCCACGAGAGCTGTGAGCCCTTTCCCGGGTGCTCTTTCTCACCTGCTCTCTCTCCCCCCACCCCCGTCACACACAGGGAGTCAGCGCGCCCCGGAGCACCCATGAGGAGAGCTGCGTGTCCCATCGCTCTGTGACACTGCAGGAAGGTAGTTGTGAGGGTAGCCTGAATGCTGAGTCTCAGGCAGGGGGAGGCAGCACTTACACTGGGCACGTCCACGGCCACCTCTCTCATGGCACTGGGTCTGACCTCATTCATGGCCTGCAGGAAGTCCTGCAGAGTGACTGTCACCGACGCGGCCAGCTGGCTGTCGGGCACATGCGGCTGCTTCCCCTGGGCCCTCAGTAAGGCACACAGACCTGCAGGGACAGACGCCAGCTCACCTCCTGCCAGAGCCGCACATGCCCTGGAGCAGTGGCGAGCAAGGGGGCCTGGCGGGGACCTCACCGACAGACGGAGAGAAGCACCCTGCTCCCCCCACCGCCGGCCCTGCACAGGAAACTCCCCACTATCCCGCTGAAGCTCAGCGGGGAGTAGGTTCGGTGACTTCAGAAGAGACATCAGACCCGAGCCAGCAAGGCTCACCCGTGCACGTCACTCCCACTGACAGATGCCCACCCACACGCAGAGACACGCACATACACACGAAGATACAAACACACACAGACACACACGTGCACACAGGCAGACTCACAGACACAACCCCCCGTCCCGGCACCCAGGTGCAGCGTGACACCAGCTGCCGAGACAGACACGTGTGAGAACACGGAGTTCTCTCCGAGCCATCTGACTTTGCTGGCACCGGCAGCTGTGCTGGCTGGACCCACCTAGGCCTGGGCAACTCCGTCTCAATGGCCATGCCAAGTTGCAGATGGTCAGTGCTGAGAAGTAAGACCTGGGGGTGCGGCCTGTCATGGGGGCTGTCCATGGAGCCTCACTTACGTGACCTTTCAGACTGTGTCAGGGTGTCTGTGGGGGGATGTGTCTGTGTGTAGGCGTGACTAGACAAGGGTGTGTGTGGGGGGGTTGTGTGTATTGTCTATGTTGGGGGTGTCTGTAGCGGGTGTGTCTGGGGGGTCCTTGTGTTGTGAGGCCAGAGGAGGCCCTGTCTATGAGAGGATGAGTGGGTACATGTGTGCATGTATACGGTTTTATGTGCAAGTGTGTATGTGTATATGTGTGCGAGTGTGTTCATGTGAGTGCGTATGTGCATATTAGCGCACGTGCATATATGCACGTGTATGCATGAGTACATGCACACGTGAGCAACTGTGTGTCCACGTGAGTGTGTATGTGCAAGTACACAAGTGAGTGCATACGTGTGTGTGCACGTGCACGTGTGTGCCCAGAACCGCACAGGCCCGGCTGCGCCCTGCAGGTCGCAGTGCCCGTCTGTGGGCCCCTTCCCGTGGTCCCACCAGGAGCCGCCCGCCCCGCCGGCCCAGGCTCACCCGCCTCGTTGCACAGGGCCCTGAGGTCGGCCCCCACATAGCCGTGGGCGCTGCCGGCCAGGTGCCGCAGGTCTGCATCGGTCAGCCCGTGGGGGACAGAGCGGAGCAGCTTGCGCAGGATGTCCAGGCGGCCCTCGGCAGTGGGCACGCCGATCTCCACCTCCTGGTCGAAGCGGCCGGGCCTGCGCAGGGCCGCGTCCAGTGCCTCAGGCCGGTTGGTGGCCCCCAGGACCAGCACCCGCCCTTCACTTCCTTCCTGGCAGAAGGAAGCCACGTGCCAGCGTCACCTCACATGACGGCAGGCAGGTCCCACTGCCTGCTCTGTCCACCCAGCCACCTAGCCCCGGGTGCAGGCAGGACTCACAGCGCCAAGGCCATCCATGAGCGTGAGACGGCAGGCAGGTCCCACTGCCTGCTCTGTCCACCCAGCCACCTAGCCCCGGGTGCAGGCAGGACTCACAGCGCCAAGGCCATCCATGAGCGTGAGCAGAGAGGCCACCACGCGCTTGTCCACGTCACTCTGAGCCCCTTCTCTTCTCGGGCAGAGGGCGTCCAGCTCGTCAATGAAGATGACTGACGGGCGCCTGTGGGCCGAGAGCAAGCTCCACCGTCTGCTTTGTGGCCCCTCCAAGACCCCCCACCAGCCAGCCCAGCAGCCGCACACTGGGCTTGGCTGCCACCAGTGGACAAAGGAGCATGAGGGCTCCGTGGCTCAGGACGTCTTGCTCGGGAACCCTGGGCAGTCCTGCCGGCCCTGCGGAGGACACAGCCCAGGCAGCTCACGGCGTGGAGGGCGACTGTCTCCGCCCCAGGCCCAGCACATGGGCACCTGAGCCCCGTCTGCCCCTGCTCCCGCCCAAGCCCGAGGACGCACCTCCGCGAGGCTTCTGCAAAGATCCGGCGAAGGCTGGCTTCCGTCTCTCCATAGAACCTGCGACCAGCGACACCTTAGGGACCAACCAGGACGATTTCCCGGAGGGGTCTGGGCAGCCTCGACTTTCCAAGTGTTTCCCGAGCACTGAGCTCTCTCCACGTGGACAGGGGCTTCGTCCATCCCTGAGCCCCCACACCCGGCCCAGGCGTCCACAGCATCAGCCTGGACCTACTTGCTCAGGATCTCGGGGCCGTTGATGACAAAGACGGACGCGCCAGACTCGGAGGCCACAGCCCGGGCGATCATGGTCTTCCCGGTCCCCGGTGGACCGTAGAGCAGCACCCCCGTCGGGGGAGGGACCCCTGCAGGGAGGCCCAAGGCTCAGCGTTGCCAGCAGTGTGCGGGCTGCCCACATCTTGGCCTGAGCTCACACGGCAAGGGAGGGCCCAGCTAGCTCCAGACCCCGGGCCCCAGTGGCCAGTGGAGAGAAGACACCACCCCCTCCCTCCTTCAGGGCCCGGTACCCACACTGGTCACTTGAGACGCAGAGAGAGAGAGAGGCAGGCCAGAGTCTGCGGGGCCCTGGCGGTAACCATGCAGGAGCCCCTCAGAGTGGCGTGGGACGGCCTGGACGTGTGCGTGGACACCATGGGGAGGGATGCCCGGGGACACCACACAACCCGGCCTCACCGCAGCGCCGGAACAGCTGGGGCTGGGTGAGGGGCAGCTCGACGGCCCTCCGCAGGGCAGCCAGCTGTGGGGCCAGCCCGCCGATCATATCGTAGGTCACCCTGGGCAGCGGGTTCTGCTCCCCGGACTCTGTGTGGGCACCGGTGAAGTGGATGCGGGTCGACGCGGAGATAAAGTAAAACGTGTCCGTGTTGCGCCGCGCCCCCAGGCTGGCCGGGTCCAGCCACTCTCGGTCCCCAGCGGGCCTGGAGTCGGATTCTGAGCCGAGACCCGGGCTTGGGACCTGGAGCCCAGGCCCACAGCTGTCCGCAGGGCTCTGGGGGATGCACGGGGAGCCATGGTCCTGCACGGGCCTGCAGGGCGTGCTGCTGGCCGGGGGCAGCCGGGGGGTGCCCAGCTCCAGCTGGCTGAGCTGCAGGGACAGGTCCAGGGTGCTGACATCTGTGCTGGACGGCTCAGAGGCCGGGCCCTGCGCCTCCTGGTCCCCCTCACCCGGGGGCTCTCTCAGGACCACGCCATCTGCCCCTCGGACACCCAATACTCGCATCTCCAAGAGCCGGATGTAGAAGGTGAAGGACAGGAAGTTGCCCGGCAGGACGATCTTGCGGTCTGGAAGGACAAGGGGTGGAGGCTCAGGCTGGCTCACGCGGAGTGGCAGCCCCATGGGCCACTGGACACACAGTCCATCACGGGCAGGTCCGGAGGGCAACACCTGCAGGTCACCCTCTGCCCATGACAGCCACGTTCAGGACGCCTGACACTGGCGGCTGCAGCCGCCATGGTCAGTGCCTGTCAGTCCTCGGCCACTCGCTCCTCTGCAGCGGACCCCACAGCTGGCTCACCCAGTTTCCTCCGCAAACACTCGGCCAGTGGCTCCTTCCCCAGGTCCTCGTCTGCGTCACTGCATGGGTGGAAATGGTGTGAGTCCACCGGGAAGGGGGGCACGGCCAGCACAGTGAGCTGGCCACACTTCCTGGCTCCTGACCACTAGCTGAGGCTTATTTGTGAGGCCAAGCACAGACCCCAGCCCCTGCTGGGCACATCTTCACAGTGACCACTGTCCAGCAGGGCAGAACGCCAGAGTCACACACAGAAAAGCACGCTGGTGGGGAGTGCATGGACACCCCGCAAACCACAGTGGAAGCTCTGGTGTCTCTGGGGGGGGGGGGGGCGGGGGCACGTCAACCCCAGGCCTTGAGTCTCCAGACAGGCCCCTGCCGCCAAGTATAGCCCCAGCCCTAGGAAGTCCTGTTCGTATGGTGCCTGGGTCAGAACTATCAGGTGACGCTGTCCACTGCTGCCCTCAGCACCGGCCCTGCCTGAGCCTGCAGCGGGAGCGTCTCTGAGGCCTGTGCCCAACTTCATCTTTGAGGAAAGCAAGTCCACCTCCTGGGAGGCCAAGCAGGCCAGAGGGGACAGAGGCAGTCAGCACGCGGAAAGTGCTCCAGGCCAACTGTCAGACACAAACCCGAGTCTGCCGGACACTGCCCAGCCACGCCCCGGGTCGGACTCAGCCAGAGATGAGCAGAGGGTGTGGTGGGGGAGGTGGTTCGGCCCCACAGCTCTTAGCGCGCACCTAACTCTCCGCTCCGCATAGACACCAGAGCCCACAAGGGCGTAGACCACAGATTCCCAGCACATGCTGGGACGTGCTGATGCCAACAATCCCCCAGCGGCTTGGCACATGCGTGCACAGGACACCAGGCCACAAGCCGGACGACCAGAGAGGCTGAGAGGCCCGTAAGCCAAGAACACTCAGAAGGCGCTTAAGTTACAGACCCAGACAAGAACGATCAAGTCTGTGCTCTGAAAAGCGGACGGAAGAGGAGAAACACACATCCTGGCCACGGAAAGCCACGCTGGAATGAGCAGACACAGAGAAGCACTTATGCCAGCCAATGGTTTGGCGACGAAGTCAGAGGGTGAAGTCTGTCCTGTGTCATGACCCCACGCCACACACGCCAAGCTTGGGACCAGGCTTGAAGCCCTCTCCTTGGTCCCTCAAAACACCTTCTGAAAATGGCATTTGATGAGGAAGAACTACAGCTACGATGGAGAAAGACTCGAAGGGTGATCTGCTGACCGCTGGCCTTGAGGGCTGTCAACCAGCCGGTGCTGATGTCCCTACTAACACGGCTTCAGCCACAGCAAGAAGGACAAGGATCGGCCCTGCCAACTGCACTGTCAAACCATCCCGGGTACTGGATCCCTAAGCGCCCGCAGAGACACACCTGAGGCACACGTCCACCTCCTCAGCTGGCACCAAGGCCCCCAGAAGCGGCTGCACCCGGACGGCGTCACCTGCCTTCACGCCCATGCTCCTCTGGGCGGCTTCACTCAGGCCCACCTTCCCTCCGGGAAAGGCCGCCACTGGCCAGGCTGTGAAGATCTGCCAGGACAGAGAGGAGAGTCAGGATGCAGGGCACAGCGGGCCCTGGGCAGAGCTGGCACGGGCAGCCAGGTTCCTGTCACAGCACTCCTCCATCAGCGACGGACTGGAGAAAGCAGGAAAGGCGCGGGGAACAGTCCGCAAGAGATGAGCCGGGAACGTGCAGCGGGTCTAAGCGGGAGCGTGCCCGGGGTGGAGGAGCTGCTGGGTCTGATCTCTGCCACCACAACAAAAACAAGAGCAAAACTCCCAGTACCAGGCTGGGTGCAGCTCTGAAGAAGGGAGGGCACAGGAGGGGCAGTGCAGTGCAGATCCAGCTTGCGGGGAGACAGACAGACAGAGCTGGGCGGCGGGAGGTCACGTGCCAGCCTGCCCCCTTGGCAGAGCGTGGCCATGGGGGAGCTTGCCTCCCAAGCAGGGTGCGGTCCTGGGGCCTTACCTCCTGCTGCCCGCGGGGGCCGGTGAGCAGCGCCGGGCGGCCGATGCACAGGCCCGCAGCCTTCAGGGTGCCCAGGGCCAGCTGCACCAGGGAGCTCTGGAGGCGCTTAGGGACGCGGACATCTGCAGCAGAGAACACCCTGTCCCTGGGTGCCGGGGGGGAAAGGTCCCTTCCCAGCGTGGCCTGGGGCCAGCCAAGGCAGGGCACGCAGGATGTCCCTCAGCCCGTTACCCGGGAGAACCCACCCGGCACCAGCTCTGGGGTCCCCACTCAGAGCGGCTCCTGGCACAGATGCCCCAGCAACCTGGGCTACCCCACCCACCTCCTGTGCCCCCAGAACAGCAGCATTGACCCTGCACTTAGGAGGGCATGGGGCTCCCCTCCCACGGCCTGATCCTGAGTGAAAGGCAGCACACACCGCCTGTACCGGGGAGGCAGGGAGGGGCGTGCGAGGGGCGTGCACCCTGGAGAGGGAGGGGCCCCGCACCCCTGCACCTGGGGAGGGAGGGACCCCGCACCTGGGGAGGGAGGGACTCGGCACCCGTTCACCTGGAAAGGGACCCTGCACCCCCGCACCCTGGGGAGGGAGAGGGGGCCCCTGCATTCCTGCACCATGTGGAGGGAGGAACCCCGCACCCCTGCACCCTGGGGAGGGAGGGACCCCGCACCCCTGCACCCGGGAGGTGGGGAGAGGCCCCGAGAGGCGCCTGCACCCCTGCACCGGGAGGGAGGGCGGCCCCGGCCCCGGCCCCTGCCCACCCTTGTCCAGGGCGCCGGTGACCGTCAGCAGCGCGGGCCCGTCGGCCGGCGAGCCCGGGGCCCCGTCCCCGCCGCGGGAGGGCGTCCGGCGGCCCTTCCGGGAGGACATGCCGGGTCCGGCGGCCGGTCGGGGGGCGCTTCCGGGGCAGAGGTCACGGGCGCGGGGCCGGCGGGGCCGGGGAGACCCCGGAGAGGCGCCGGGCGGACGCCGCGGAGCAGCGCGCGGCTCGGCGTGGGCAGCGAGCCGGGCAGGCGGCCCGGAAGCGGAAGCGCGGCGCGGGGAGGCGGGACCGGAAGCGCGCGCCCGAGGGCGGGGCCGGAAGCGGAAGGGCGCCCGCAGGAGGCGGGCCGGAAGCGGAAGCGCGGGCGGCCATGGCGCTGCGGCGCGGCGCGGGCCTGCGGGAGGCGCTGCTGGCGCGGCTCCTGCGCGCGGGCGCGGGCGCGGGGCGGGCGCGCGGGGCGGCGGGCGCGGGGCTCGGCGAGCTGCGGGCCGACCCCGACCGCTTCGGGGGCCTGTGGGTGCGGCTGGCCGCGCGCCCCGCCCTCGACCCCGCCGCCTTCCGGAGCCGCCTGCAGGGCAAGTGGGGGCTGGGGACCCGCGGGACCCCTGACCTCCCCGTCCCCGAGGGCCCCGTCCCCGTCGGGGCCGCGCTGCCAGGTCCGCGCGCTGGCCTTCCCCGTCCCCGCCGCCCGAGGTCCATGCGCTGACCGCCCCCGCCCCGCCGCAGCCCTGACTGCAGGGACCCCGAGCCTGGGGGGTCCGACAGGGACTCCCCGTCACTGCCCGCCCCCTGCCCCCCGCGCAGTGACTCCCCAGCGACCCGCCGTCTGGGGTGTCCTGCACTGACCCCGCAGTGAGTGTCGGAGTCTTTCCCGCCCCCCCCCCCCCACCACACCGGTCCCAGGCTGCCATCAGGTAGTGACCCCAGCGGGCGGGCGGGGGCTGCAGGGGTCAGGGCTCCCTGCCTTGAGCAGTGGGTGTGGGTGTCACACTCTGAGGGACTGGCACTGGCCTTGTGGCGCGTGCCCAGCTTCTTGGACGTTGGAAGGGCCCCCACCCGGCCGGTCGGTGCCTGAGCTTGGCCTGCACCTCAGCCTCCTGCTGCATTGGCCGCTGGGTGGGGCCGCCTGATGCGAGGCCAGGGCTGTGCCTGTTTGCACGCGTGAGGGCCCCACATCCACTCGTGGATGGACACCCAGCCTGGTGCAGCTCGTCCCGGTGACGGTGGAGCTGTGAGGGTGTGGGGCAGGCCAGGCCCCACCTCCTGCCCCAGACCTGCAGCCAGCAGAGGCCCCCTCCCCGCTGCCCTGGCTGCCCACCGCAGCCTGATTGGTGACCCCTTCCCTGAGCACACCTTGATGCCGCACCTGGGGCTTGCTCAGGGAGGTGGTGGTCTCCGGCCTGTTCTCAGTGACAAAGAGACCTTGCAGAAGTCAGGAGCTCCCCTGACTATGTCACAGGATTCTGGTAGCAGGAGGCCACGTTGGTGCCCAGGCCAGGGAGTCCTAAGCTTACGCTCATCTGAGCAAAGCCGGGCCCTCGTGAGACTGCTGGAGGGAGCTCAGTGGCCGCTGTAAGGCCCTAGGTCCGATTCCTGGTCCTGCCCAGTCCTGGGGACTCCCATCCCTATAAGAACTGAAATTTTAAAGTACAAAATCATTTAAAACATCTAATAAAAGACAATCGTTTAAATGAAAGGCACTAAATGTCCGTGATGGGGACTGGGCACTTGTCCTGCATGAGGCCACAGTGGGCAGGATACTTGTCTTGCATGAGGCTGACCCACGTTTGATTCCTGGCCCCACATAAATAGCCCCCCTGAGTCCCACCAAGAGTGACCGCTGAGCATCGCTGGCTGTGACCCAGCTTCTCCGCTCCCCCAGAAAGGCATCAGTGATGTGTGTCAGTACCAAAAGCATATTTATGCACGTCCAACCTCTTCGTTTTTCACCTGCAGAAGTTGACATTTCTTCAGAGTTTTTCTAGAACACGAGTGTGATTTAGAAACCAGCTCTGCTGATTGCCCACCATGAGCTGCAGGAGTCCAGTGAGAGGCTGGAGAGTGAACCTGCCGGCTGCAGGCACGCAGGAGGGGGTGTGCATGGGGCCCAGGGCTGGACTAGACCATCTATGGGCGCTTCCAGTCCCTCAGGGAACTCAGTCTGGCGGCAGTGAACACAGCGTTAAAATGCCAGGCGTGGCTGAGACATCGGGGACCAGCCCCCTCCTCCCCCCTCACTATTAAGGAAGCAGCCCCCTGGGAAGGTGCCCTGCGCCCCGGCCGGGTCCCCTCACGGCTCTCCTCTCCTTGCAGCGGCGCTGGAGCTCTGGCGCTGCGAGGGCAGAGTCGCGGTGTGGCTGCAAGTCCCCATACCCCAGAGCCAGTGCATCGGCCCTGCCTCCTCGCTGGGCTTCCGCTACCACCATGCAGAAGGGGACATGGCCACGCTGTCCTTGTGGCTGGCCGAGGGGCCCAGCCGGCTGCCTGCGTTCGCCTCACACCAGGTTGGAGTGGCAGGTCCGTTGGGGCGACGGGGGGGTTCTCAGGGGACTTGGGACAGTCCCTGGACGGGAACGCCCTCCTGTGCAGATCGACGGCCCCACAAACCTTCCTGGTGGCTGATGGAAAGTTTAGAGGCTGTGCCCCAGGGCCTCCTGGGAAGTGGTGTTTCTGGGGGAGGTTTGGGTGTGTGGGGGCGGGAGGCCTGAGCCCCTGGTGAGCCTGTCCCTCCCCCAGGAGCTGTGTTCGATGAGGACTCTGGGAAGATCCTGGTGGTGCAAGACCGACACCAGGTGAGCCCCCTCCCCACACCCAGCCACAGCCAGGGCCGCAGAGGGCACTTCTGAGCCATCGGGAAACCCGCTGATCTAGAAAAGTGCTTCACGTGGCTTGGACCAGGTGGCACCGCACTGGGAGCGGGTCTGGTCCCGGGATCCGGTGGCGGGAGTAGGGTCTGGTCCTGGGATCCAGTGGCAGGAGCCGGGGTGGTCCCGGGATCCGGTGGCAGGAGTGGGGGCTGGTCCCTGGGTCCGGTGGTGGGAGCAGGCTGTCCTAACCCCTGTGCCCACACGCCTCACGCTTCATCGCAGGCAGAGATGGACACAGGAGACTGCGTGGGTGAGACCCTGCGGTCTGCCTGCCGCTGGCCCGTGTTCCTGGGACACTGCTGGCCCTACCCCGACTTGAGTGGTCAGGGTTGACTGCTGCATCTGAGCTGTTGGTCTCCAGAAGTGGCTCCAGGGAGAGCTGCAGCCACCTGCGTCCCCGGGACCCCCGTCTCACAGACAGCCGGCCTCACCCCACAGCTGGGAGCCTCTCAGGGCAGCAGCTCTGTTTCTGACCTGAAGACTTGGCTTTGGGTGACACTGTGGCACAGAGACCCTTCTTCCCTGGGAAGGAGGCTGGACCGTGGCCGAGCTGTCCACAGACTCCTGGCTAGGCCGTCCCAGCCACACCCGGGGAAGGACGGAGGCCCATCCTCTGTGGGGCTGAAAGACCGCAAGGAATCAGGAAATGAAACGACAGCGAGTTGGGGGCTCGCCCTGCGCACGGCTGACCCGGGCTCCATCCCCAGCTCCCAGATGGCCCCCAGGCACCACCAGGAGCCATCCCTGAGCACCGCCGGATGTGGCCCAAGATCAAGAAAAAAAGAATATGATTCATTCTGGAAGCCCACATGTAAACTTGAGTCTGACTACAGGACACGCTTTCAATGCAGCTGCAGATGGCGTCCAGAACAGCTCTGACAGGACGACGGGGGACACCTCAGCCTGCTAGGGGCCGGGGGACACACAAGAGCCTGCTAGGGGAGGAGGAACACACCACACTCTGCACCTCACACTCAGTCGATCCCCAGCAGACCAGTTTCTTGGGCTGCAGTTCCTGACTCTGAGGGCCAGGGCAGGAACCCATCACCCTCACCTTCTCTTTTCCATCCCCACACAGCCATGTGCCGCACACACGCACATGCGTGCAGACACATGCATGCAGAGACACATGCGTGCAAACACACACATGTGTGCAGACACACGCACGTGTGCAGACAGGGAGCAGACAGCCACGTGCACAGCTCTGCTTGCTGCAGGAATGACGCATCTGTCGGCCCTCCGCGGCGTGCACACCCCAGCCCGCTCCAGCTCTCAGCGCCCCAAAGCAGGAAGGTCATCTGTGAGTCACAGGCAGCCTGCAGGCTGGCCGTCTCCTGGAAGAATCTTCTCGGAGGAGTGGAAAGTTCCTTCCCAAGACTGCGGCAAGGCGCATGGAATTTTACACGTGAAGCACAGAGCTGCCCTGTCCTCCGGGGGCCCGAGAACAAAGGCGGAAGCTGACGGCCCCCAAGCTCGGCCTCCGGCCACACCCCACTGAGCATCAACTGGAGACGGCGCGGGGACTCAGGCTAAGGGTCTTCAGGCAGACAGGCGGGTGGACGCGGCCCGGCGAGTCCCGGCAGAGCAGCCGGGAAGAGGTGCCGGTGCTCGCTCCCTTCTGTGGAGACTGGCCCGTGACCCCACGGCGCCCTTCCCGCCCTCAGTTCCTGCCCGCGGTGGAGCCCTCACTGGCCACAGCAATGTCCAGCACATGGCATTCCCTCTTGGGGCTGTCAGGGCCACACCAGGGCACTCAGCCAATCGGGACGAGAGTGGCCCTTCCACAAGGGACTGGACCAGGCATCAGACCCGCCGGCTGGCTCAGTCTGGGCTGGGACAAGGGTCTCCCGCTGCAGCACTGCAGGGTCCAGTGCCCACCCCTGGCAGCAGTGAGAAGCAGCCCCCTGGCACTCAGGCCCCTCAGCAGGGATCCTGGGGAAGTGTGGACAGGAGAGGCCACTCAGGCGGTTTCTCACCAGTGAGGGAACACCGCACGCTTTATGAACTGACCTCGGAAGGCTGGTGGCAGGGGCTCGGTGCCCGCAGAGTCAACAGTCTGCAGAGTCCGGGCATGGCGCCATGCTGTGAGCAGACCTGGAAGTGGCCCCTTCTCTGAGAGCCGCAGGCAGAGGTGCCCGCTTCCTGCTCCGTCCTGTGGCGGGTGCAGCCCAGGGCCGGGCAGAGCATCCTGGCACCATGGAGTCCTGCCCCGCTCTCCTCGGCCGCCCTGTCTCGGTCAGCGTCCTGCCCCGCACAGGCACACACAGACCCGGAGTCCAGCCATCCGTTTATTCACACTCCAAGAGCCACCTCCCACGGGGACTGCTCCCGTGTTACTCTGTCTTACATTATTATAGAGAGCACTAGTACTAGGGTACTCTGTTACAATGGAGAGTAACATTAACTAGGTTACTCTGTCGATTATTGTGTGGATTATTATTACTAGATGACTATCTGATCAGACACGATACAGAAAATAAATGTGAAACTTTAGAACAGCCTGCCGTAGTGATTCGGTTTATGCTGTTTCCTACATCTGAATAGCAGCATCATAACATTCCTCTATTTCATTTGTCAATAGTTAACTAGCAGCACGTTTTTTAAGTCACGTTCAGTAGATGTTTATCTCTGCTCCTTCATTCATGCAGAACTTGCCACGTTCACCAAAGCAAGCAACTTGTGTTTCTGTAGAAACGGGGAGGACGGCAGCCCACGGCAGCCCGAGTCACCAGCTCCCTAGGAGGGAAGGGGGGTGGGGGGACGGGGGCTTCACGTGGAGTCACGAGTTGCTGAGTCGGGCCCGCGAGAGCCGAGGCCCTGCTCACTGTCTTCTGACTTTGTCCAGCAGGTGAAACACTTGTGGAAGTTCCCCGGAGGGCTGTCGGAGCCTGGAGAAGACATCGGTGCGTACCCCAGACTCCGCTGGGTTGGGACTCTGAGGGTTCGTTCTCTTGCACGGTCGCTGGCAGTGAGGCGGTGAATTCTCCCCCCGGGTCAGCTGCTGTCTCGTTAGCAGGGTCCAGCCACGGCATCAAGCCTGGTCAGTGCCGTGCAGACCAACCCGCTGCCCGGCTCTCGGCTCTGCTGCAGGTTCTTCTGTTTGACCTCTAGCTTCTGGCTTCTGAGGTCCATGAGCGAAATTTAGCAGGAAGGGTGACTTTGGGCAGGACTCGGAATTATTGTCCAGATTAGATAAGTGTGACTTCACCACCCTTTGTCCAGGCACATGTGAGGAGTGACTGAGGGGAACTGGGAGGAGATCAGTATCATTTAGGAGAACTTCATCTGCTCTTCAGGACAGCCAGGGAGACTGGGCACAGACAAGTGTCTGCAGGATGGGGTCCCCGGACACCCCAGGAGGGACCACAGGATAGGGTTCCCAGGTACCCCACAGGGGCTGCAGGACAGGCCCCCGAGCACCCCCAGTGAGGTCTTCAGGGGGTCCTTGGGCATTCTAGTGGGTCTGCAGGGAGGGGTCCTGGGGGGTCGTAGGAAAGGGTCCCACTATTTCCTCATTGCCTCTCCTTTGGGTGTTTAGACGCACCTGTGCCAGGTGGCTGAGGCCAGTGAGACAGCCCATGTGCAGGCAGGTGCCCATGACCTCCAGTGAGGGTCTGGCCGACCTCGTGGGCGTATGCCACTGTTACCATATTGGGCAGCATTCTGTCTCGCTGCCCACAGGCCTGAGGTGGAGGCTGGCAGGCGGCTGCAGTGACCTGTGGCTCCTGAGCTCCCCGAGTTGGAAGTGGCCAGTGGGGCACTGAAGTTGGGGCTGGAGGCCATGCCCTGGGGATGCACTGTGAGGACATGGGGTGTGTGTGTGGGAGCCCAGCCCAGGCCCAGCGGGCGCCTCCTCCGGGCAGACAGGCCCGGGCAGCTCCCCGTCCACTCTCCCCGGAGCTGGGGGCAGGTGCAGGAGACCCAGGCCAGTGTGGAACCCCCACTGCTAGGCACGCTCCCCCACCGGGCAGATGCTGAGAGGAGCAACGACGGGAAGCCAGGCTCCCGAGACCTGCCACCTGGTGTCACATCCCTCTCCTTCAGCAAAAGGAACCCAGAGCCTGGGTTTGGGTGTGTCCTGTGGCCGCTGGAATTGGGAACAGCCCAGTTCTGACACAGGCCCCCGACAAGGTGCCGCGTGCATGCCTGCACAGAGCTGGGCTCACAGAAGGGCTGGCCCTGGCCCAGAGCTTCTGCCCGGGTTCCCGCGTGGCCACCAGACGTCCGCCTCCCAGAACTGGCCACTCACAAGCTGCACGGGACCTCGGTGTCCGGCATTGCCAGTGACAGGCTGTGTGGGCGAATGTTCACTGTTCTTACTGGGGAGAGCTTCCCCCTTTCAGCTTAAGAAAGGGAATGCTGACTGACCGCCAGCGAACCTCAGCCCCCAGGGAAGCCAGCGCCTGACCCCAGCACTGCATCCAAGGCAGTGTCCAAGGCTGCCTTGTCGGCCCTTCCCAGACTGTTTGGAGAAAAGGCCCGGGCGTCCCTGCCGCTGGGGGGAGCATGGCCGGTACCAGTGGGAACACAGGAGGCCCTGAGGCACATGGCCGTGAACCACAGCACAGCCGCCAGGTGGGCGGGGGCAGCCGGGAAGCAGTTTCCTGCTCCCCCCAGACACCAGCCGGAGCCTCCCAGCATTCCAGAAAGTTCATGCAGGGGCTTAGCAGACATTTAGCAAAAGCAGCCCCAAAACTCTGGTCGGGGCACCGCAAGGAAACAGGACAGCGCCGGGCCCGGGAGGCCCAGGTCGTCAGCGGCCCCGTCACCAGCCAGGCGCTGGTGGTCGCTACAGCGCCTGCTGAGCCTTCGGGATGGGCTGGTGGAGAAAGGGGTTCCGACTGCAGCTCTGCACTTTCACCCCCCCATGGACACCTCTGGGAGACCGGGGGCGGGAGGGGCGGGTGATGGCCCTGCGCACAAATGCCCGAGGCAGCGACTGGGCGCGCCATGGGGGCTGCTGGAAGAGGGCAGGGCCCAAAGCCTGGCGGGCAGCGTTGACGGCCATCCGGGTGGGGGTGACAGGTCACTGGGCTGGGGTGATGGGTCGTCCAGGTGGAGGCGATGGCCATGCAGGCAGGAGTGACAGGTCATCCAGGAGGGGGTGACGGGTCATCCGGGCTGGGGTGATGGGTCATCCAGGTGGAGGCGATGGCCATTCAGGCAGGGGTGACGGGTCATCCGAGCGGGGGTGGCCGAGGCTGCCCTGGCTTGTCCGCGCTGACGGGCATGTGGGGCCAGGCCAGCGGACGGCATCTCTCCCGCAGGAGACACGGCGGTCCGGGAGGTGTGGGAGGAGACGGGGGTCCAGGCCGAGTTCCGGTCCCTGCTGAGTGTCCGGCAGCAGCACTGCAGCCCCGGCGCCTTCGGCAAGTCCGACCTGTACCTCGTGTGCCGCCTGCAGCCGCTGACCTTCGCCCTTCGCCCCTGCCCGCACGAGTGCCTGCGCTGCCAGTGGATGGAGCTGGCCCAGCTGGCGGCCACGGCGCCCGCCACGCCCGTCACCCGCAGCGTGGCCCGGCTGCTGCTGCACGGCCACCGCCAGGGCTTCCACACGGTGGACCTGACCGTGCAGGACGTGCCGGCCCTGCGCCCCGGCCCGGCCCCCAAGCTCTACCACCGGGAGGTGCCGGCCTAGGCGGGGGGGCCCCCCGGGGCTGCCCGTCAGCTCCTGGCCGACATGGGGAGGAACAGGATGGCCTTCTGCCCCGGGCCCGTCCGGGGCCCCAGCTTGCACTGCCCGGTGCGCTTGAGGGCCACGTACCAGCCCGAGTACTTGCGCGAGCGGTAGGTGTTGTAGTTGTTGGACTCCAGCCGCTCCAGGAAGAAGCACTCGTCCGTCACGCATTTCTGGAAGACAGGGAGAGCGGCTGCCGTGGGCCTGCACGCGCTGTGCCCACCCCGGGCTGCGTCCAGGCCCAGCAGGCACCTGCCAGGCAGGGGCTGAGGCCCGCTCTGGGAAAGGCGTCTCGCTCCATGGCCCCGGGCAGCGGGCACGGCCTGACAGCGCCTCGAGGAGCCCCTGAGACTTGTGGCTGGAGCCCACGCAGCTGGTGCAGACGCCCGGGCTCAAGACCCCCCTCTGGACAGCACTACTCATGGCCACAGGAGTCCCCGCCAGGGCCGTCCGCAGGAGCCAGCGGCAGCCCCAGCCCCGGGGGTGCAGGCCCTCCCTCCCTCCTAGTAAATGCCTGGACTCCCCACTGTCTCGTGTGACTTGACCCCTGCAGAGCCCACCAGTCCGGACTGTCACTCCCAGTCCCGGGGGCGGGGCTCGGGCTGTGCCTTGCCCCACCCCCTATCAGGTGGCTGAGAGCACCAAGAGGCTCCCCCTGCCCGCCGCCCACCCAGCCAGGAGGAGGAGCTGCTCCCTCCCTCCTCCCAGCTGCGCCCACTCTGCCTTTTGTTCCCCACACAGACCCTAGGAACAGTGGCCAGGCCAGCCAGGGGTGGACTCTGAGGGGGACACCCGGGTAGGTGCACATTTCAGGGGGCAGGGTCCGGAAGGCCAGTGAGCAGGATGCAGGGGGAGGCCAGGGGCCCGGGTCCTCCCTGGGGCCCTGTCTCTGCGGACGTCTGGAAGCATCAGGCCCTGAGACCAAGGACGAGGGGCTCTGGGGGTCTCAGGAGACACACACAGCGACAGACATGGAGAAAAGCCCAGCCTAGAGCAGGGCACTGCCTCGCTGCCCCCGCCGTCAGCCTCCACCCGGGGCTGTCCTGCCCTGCACACCGTGTCCCCCGGGACTGTCTGTGCCAGAGAGACACGCCCCCAGGTGTGTGGCCGCAGAACAGACCCCAGCAGCATCCGCAGGGGCAGCTGGACACTAAGTGACCTGCAGTGCCGCCGGCAGGGTTGGGGTCCGGGGAGGAGAGAGGACAGTGGAAGCACAGCGCTCACCAGGGCAGGGCGGACGCAGGGCTCTGAGTTAGCTGACCGTGGCCCAGGGCTGAGAGGAGACCAGTGGTCAGGTGCCTGTCTGTCAGTAGGACATAAGCCACGGGACCACCCCCAGGACAACCGCCTTCATCACACGTAGAATCAGGCTGGCCCTGGCTGCCACAGAACTGAGCTCTGGTTCTCTGCTGCTCCCGTGGGCTGCACGGCTCAGGATGGGCTTTGACTCCTGCAGGTGCGACCGTGGGACTGGGAGGCTCCCGGGGCTGCACTGGGCTGCTTTCTCTGTGCCCACCCGTGTGCAGGGCCTGGCACCGTGATCCACATGAAGAGGCACTAGGTGTGTGCAGAAATGCCTGCACTTGCTAGTGTCGCGTCTGCGTTAGACGTGTCTGCCTGGCTGGCTGCCTTCATGTGTGCGTGGTGGTGTTTGCAGTACTGCATTAGTGTCAGGGGCACAGACACACGACTGCACTCGTGGACTTGCAGGACTTGCAGGAAGGTCTGCACTGGACACAGACCCTTAGCGACATCCCTGAGTCCATGCAGGAAAGTTCGCATCCAGGACAGCGTGGCTGGCTGCCCTCACTGTTGCTCTAGACACACAGTTGCGTGACTCTGTGCAGATGTGCGTGGTGCGTAAGTCTTTGTGGACATTGCGAAGTCCAGTAAGGACCAGAACAGTCAGGCCGCAGAGAGCACAGACCATTTGGAATTGAGAACATGGACTTTCTGGACTGCAGGGGCTGCGGTGGCGTGACTGACCCCCTTCCCACGTGTGGCTTCCCCGAGCATGGACCCCCCATCCTCCTCTGTGAGGCCGAGTCGGGCTCTGACCCCGCTCTCTGGGCTCAGCCCCTGCCCGCCGCTCGGGCTTCGCTGTTTGTCCCTTCACAGTCCTGGACTGGGCAACCTCGGCTCGGAGGAAGTTTGCGCAACATGATTCCAAAACTGCCTTTTCTTACACCACTTCTGAGAATGGGAAACAGACATGATGTAAGTCTCAGCAGTGACGCTCAGGCAGGCACTCAGGAAAGGTCAGCCTGGCAGGGGGGCCCACATGTGTCAGACCCGCTGCTCAGGACGGCCGGTGCGGGCGCCATCAGGAGGGTCAGCCGCCCTGCAGACTGCTCAGGCCCCCGCAGGGAAAGGCCTGTGGGTGGGCGGGTGGGGGCTGCAGTGACCCCAGGGCCCAGGTGCGTGTGAAAAGGACAGCTCCTGCCCGCCCCGCCCTGCCCTGCCCTGCCCGGTCCTCTCTCCCCTGCCCTCCCTTCCCTGCCCCGCCCTGTTTTGCCCTCCCCTCCCTCCTGCCCTCCCTCTCCCCCCAATCCCTGTCCTCCCCTCTCCCCTGTTCTTCCTTCCCCTGCCCTCCCCTCCCTCTCTTTCCCTGCCCTGAGCTTGGGGCTAACCCAGGGGAACTAGATGGTGCCCACAGGCGACTGGAGAAGTGCCCACCCCAGCCTCTGTCTGCAGGGCTCAGGGGGCCGTGTACCCCCTGAAGCCTGGGACTGGGGTGTCCAGCACAGCGGGCACCCAGCCTCCCTCAGGGCGGGTCCCTTCCCTGGGTCTCTCTCCTCCCCGTCTCTCTCCACCCGCCCTGGGGAGCACCTCCCTGGGACTGCCTCTCCTCGGTCTTCCCCAGAAGGAAGAGGTGAGCTGGGTGGGTGTCTCAGCCAGCTGGGGTGCAGCGCACCCCTGCCCTCAGATTCCTCTGGCTGGGCCGTGGTTTCTCGCGCGCGCGCGCGCGCGCGCGTGTGTGTGTGTGTGTGTGTGTCTGGCTTCTCGGGTCACCAGTCCCCCGCTGGCAGAGCTGGAACCTCAGGCCTGACCCTGGTTTTGTAGGGGTGTCATGCCCCGAGGGAGCTGCCCTCAGTGGCCCCACACTGCTGACCTGCCTCCTGCTGCACAGCCTGAGTTGGCATGGGACACACACAGGCCAGGCCCAGGGCACACGTCCACCACTGGGCTGCGGAGAGCCAGCCGGCCAGCCCCAGAGCCCAGCCCCACATGGGGCAGCCGTCCACTCGTTCCCCTCTCGAACAGGCCCCGCCCTGGCCTCTGGCCTCCCACCCAGGGTCCCGGGTCCTCCAGGCCGACCCAGCAGCTGTCCCTTTGCTACTGGAAGGCTAGGGTCAGACCCAGCCAGGAGTTGATGGGCCTGCCCGACTCTCTGGCCACACGCCCCATGTCCCTGGGCCCGCCTCGAGCTCTGCACACTGGTCTGTAGCTGCCTCCACTGACCCTGTGCCCACGCAGACCCACTCCACCCCTCCAGCCCATGCTGGGGCCACACGTTCCCAGGGGTGGCCCTGCCGATCCATCCTGGCACTCAGCACGAGGGCCCGTCCCTGGGGAAGGGCTTCCACCAGCCCCGCTCTGCCCCGACACTGGCCAGCATGGTGACCTCGACAGGAGTCGTGCTCTCCGGGAGAATTCCAGAGTGCCCCCACAGAGAAATGCCAACACTGGAGACTGGGAGCCAGAGCGGCCAGCCTGTGCCCTGGGGGCCTGTCCACCAACCGAGGGCTGAGACACAGGCCCAGCTGGCCACGGACGTGCCTCAGGGTAGTCCCATGCCAGAGTCACAACGCTAGGGCCATGAGTGTTCCCTGGGCCACCTGCCCCCGGCCCAGCCTCCTAGGGTGAGCCCCCAGCTCGGCCTCCCGGGGCGAGCCCACGGCCCTGCCTCCCGGGGTGAGCACTGCAGGCCTTCTGTCCCGGTACCCTCAGGTCACTGCCTGTTGGAGCCCTGGGCCCTTGGGACCTCCTCCCCAAAGACTGGGCGTGGTCAGAGTGCAGGACTCGGAGTACAGGATCCCAGGGGCTCAGTGCTCCGGGAAGTGGGACTCACAGTGAGGGACCCCAAGCACCCAGGCCCCTCCCGGAGCTGTGCATGTCCCACACACAGACTGGCCACACTCGGGCTCGCAGGGCACGTGTGCCAGGGAGGCCTGAGGAAGCGCCGGTGAGTCCTCACCAGAGCCAGCAGCCGTCCATCGTCCTTCATGGCCAGGTAGCGGTTGGCGCTCACGCCCTTGATGGACACGACCCCTCGCTCCTCAGCCTGCAGCTGCAGCTTGACTAGAAGAGACAGGAAAGCACCTCTGGGTCTCATGGCATGCACACTCATGCACACACACCACAGGGACATACCCGTGCACACACTACAGTGACACTCATACATGTGCACACACACACACCACAGTGACTCACACTTGTGCACACACACCACAGTGACACACATGTGCACACACATCACAGTGACACTCACACATGTGTACACACACCACAGTGACACATGTGCATGTACACGCCACCAACATATACAGGTGGACGCACATACAACGGTGACACATACATGCACATACACACCACCACCACTCATAACGTGTGCAAATACACACAAGAGCCACAGTCACACGTGTGTACATATGCCAACGCACACATGCACACATACAATGACATATACAAGCGAGCACACTGATACTTGGAATGTACACATACACACGGCAACCCTTGTCCCACACAGGTTCCCATATGCCCACAGCAGCACAAACACCTGCACACACGAGTGCAGACACACAGCCCGACTCTGGACCAACGGGAAAGGGAGGGAAGGCCTGGCGGGCGGCCCAGCCTTGACACTGAAGCCGCGGGGTCCACGTGCGTGTGGCTGTGGGGTCTGTGCACGTGCTCTAGGACTGGCCAGGACTCGTGGGCCCTGCACAGCCCCGCGAGGCGGCCGGCACGTCCAGGCCTCTGTGGTAAGCAGAGCCCGGCATGGCCTGCCGCCCCTGGTCCCAGCAGTGGACAGTGCAGACATGTCCAGGGCAGGGTCGAGGGGCTCGCGCACGTGCTCTGCACCCCAGCCTGGTCCCCGGGCACAGCCCCCACACGAAGCCTGGGAAGGAGCTCAGCCAGGCCCTTGCTCGGGGCCAGGGGCACGAAGCCGCGTCCCAAGCAGCCCACCGGCAGGCGTGGGCTAGAGGGGCCTGGCCAAGCCAGCACTCCTGAACGGTGGCTGGCGTGCCATCGTCCCGCACAGCCCAGGGAACACCTGTCCCCAGGTGCGCAGGTGTGCAGGACCCCAGCAAAGGGGACGTCTAACCAGCGCGGGCCCCAGAGACTGGAGCTGGGCCCAGAACAGGCTCACAGACCTCACATGTGTGCCCTTGTGTGCTACAGCGACCCCGGGGCCTGCGGGCAGCAGAGCTGGGCTCAGAGCCACGGCACTGCACATGGGGCCTGCCCACAGGGAGGGAACAAGCCCCCT